GCATCCAAGGAGCTTTCATTATTTACTTAATTCTGAATTGTAATTATATCAAATGTATTTTTCTTAAAAGCATTCTCTACTGATTAAGTATATTTTATTTCACTGATTTATCTTATTGTTTATTTCATGTCATGAGACTTTCATTCAGCCAGCATTCCCAAGTTTCTATACTATTGTTGAATAATTGTTGATTATTCATTGTTTATTCACAATAAGTGATATACTTAATGTAAGACACACCCTATTTTTAATTACCTCATTTTCAATTGGCTAGTTATAACTTTGATTTTATTTGCTCTGTTATACTTCAGTAAATATTGTAAACATATATGGATGGGTGTGATTTTCTCATCAGTATTCTTGAAAATGACCAAATAGATCAAAACGCTGAATCTCAAAATGTCTTTGTCTCTTTTCGGAGTTTACTGTCTTTTTGTAACATATACAGTAACATGAGTAAAATACGAGAGAGCACAAATAAAATAGATTTTCGATAAAATTTTAAAACAATGTACAAAAGCTTTTCTCAAAAATCGATAAATATAATCTTAAAAAATTTAATTTCAATAAAATCAGTCTTCAACTAGATTTGAGCACTTTTTTTAGTTTATTTTTAAAAGAGTAAAATGTAGTGCAGTTCCCCATATCATTAGGAAGTGAATTAAGATACTAATAGTAGGGGTCTTTATAGCTAAAATTTCATACACTACAGTATATCTTATTATTAGATCTAACATAAAACTATACTAAAATATTATGAAATTAAACTGAAATTAAATATAAAGGAATCACATGGAAATAACAAGTAAGTTATTACATGTCCACAGTATTAGCAGGGTTTTATTATTTAAATAACAACTCCTTGGTATAAGAGACAATGTTCCTTCGCGTCTGCTACTATTGTAACCAGCTTCAATTACATAAATCGATTTTGCAAACAAATACAAAAAAGGCAGAATAGAAAAGACATTCAACAAGCACACATTAAGTCAATAACTACAACAATAAAATAACCAATTTAAATGGCACTCTATCAAGAAGCATACACTATGTGTACAGTTTAACTGTAATACAATAATAGAAAATGGCCACTGTCAACAAGCACATGTGAGGCCAACAAATACAATAATGAGATTAGTATGAGAGTCTGCTATCTGACAACAATGCACAATTGTTAATAATAAAAATAAAAACCAAGAAATTAGTTTTTTGAATCCTCTTAAGACAGTATGCTGATATTAAAGAAAATTAATCCCGAGAATAAAGACAGATTTGTTTAAACATAAAACCATCTTTTCCAAACAGACCATATTGTAGATCTTGAAAATTGATACATGGATTGCAAATCCTAAGCATTGTGACCTTCATGAAATAGTGCTATATAAATGATGTAATGCATGTTCAAAAACAATACCTGTCCAAAAATTGTAAACAATTAAGAAGATAGGATGCTTTCCCAAGACTTCACTTGAAACAATTCTTCATACGGGCTGCCATAAAAAACATGAATTTACCTCCCTATACACATCCGCTAATTTCTTCCTACAAAGATAGCTGACTCTTCAACGACAGACTATCCCTATTTCGCCGAAAGAACTTTAAAATAACAATCCAATCCAATCTTCGACTTTAGGAGAGTCTCAAACAATTTTGCAGACCAGAAATTTTCATGACAAGATGTTTGTTAGTTGTTTTTATTGAAATCCAATTTGACCACAGCATTTTCACCAAAATGTGAGATAACAACTTGCTAGAAAACTGTATTGTCTTTATATATATTTTGTATATTTGTAAAAATGTCCTTACCTGTGTTGAAAAAGGAAAGGCTACCATCTGCGTGCCCAAAAACCATTCTGCCAATTTGTTTGTAATGTAAGCGGAACTTGGTGACATCAGATATGAAATTGTGAGTGTCTTTGTGGTTAGTGATACTGCCATTCGTCCTATAATTCCATATGTAAAGAGGTCCACGACCTGAAACATACACCACTGTTTCTTTATCATTCAGTACCCAGCCAACTGAATTTGGCACAGCATTTGTGTTAGCCAAGGAAGCTACAGCTTTTTGCTTGGTTATATTCCAAATGACGACTTGATTGTCGGCTCCGGTGCTTGCAAACACATCTGGGTCCGTTGGGTTCCAGGAGATCGCAGTGATCGTCTTTTTATGTTCTGACATGATGGCTTCAAGCTTGAACTCATTGTAATGATGATCCAACTACAAACACAAATCAAGATCATCAAATTCTATCATTTATTAGTTTAATAAAGATTACGTCACCCAAAACAAATTTGGTAAACTGCAAAAAATGATTAAATTGATTATGTTAAACAAATTTATAGTCAGGCTCCGGAGGAAAAAAAAATGTTTGGTATGTTGTAGAAAAGATTTTTCTAAAAACAGAAAAAAGTTGTTTGACGAAAAACTGGGGAACTGTGAATGAGATACAGGTTTTTGAATATTTAAAAACCCTAACCCTTTTCCCCCAATTTATAAATATTCAAAAATCTGTATCTCATTCACCGTTCCCCAGTTTTTCATCAAAAAACTTTCTCCTGTCTTAGAAAACCAGTTCTACAACATATCAAACATTTTTTCCCCTCCGGAGTCTGACTTTAAATTACGTTTTAATTTGCCACCAGAAATGCAAGACAATGGGAATGACATTTCTAAGGTTGGTTAATTTGCAGACATTTTTTTTTAATGTAATGCAATGTGATTCAATTTATATAGCGCTTTATACCGGAGTCTGTTGACTAGCTTGTACAGTTGCTTTATTCTTCACTAAGGGTCTCTACGTGTCTGAGCTACCCGGTAACACGGAACTAGTTATCTCTTGTCTGTCCACAATCAATTATCAATTTACCTTGTATATGTAAATAGCCAATGTGGCACAGTAGGCAAACCTATCACCACTTGCAGCACACACATCACTATTCCATGGCTGACAGCCAGCTGAAAGAAGCCCTACTTGCTTCATCATCCCTCAACCTGCAAATTAATAAAAACAATTCATTCAAACGATACTAAAAGATGGGAGGTCCACGCTACATTTCAGCCCTACTAGGCACCAGTACTTCGTATAAAACAAATCACTCACATCACAAACTAAAACAATGAAGGTAGTTCGTGAAAACAAAAAAGCATGTTAAAATATATGCTGTTGGCATTACAGACTTAGCTTGCGAAACAATACATGCCTATTTTGACATGCTTTTTTGTGTACTTTGATTGTTTTAGCTTGTGATGTAATATTGTGGCCATTTCTCACCATTTAATTTAATGATTGCAGCATCCATGTCCACTAGCCTAGATACAGTAATAACAACCATAACAATAATATTGTCGTTCATTGAAACTGTCTCTTATACACATCTAGATGTGTATAAGAGACAGGGTTTAACTGTTTGTATGGACATGAAATTCCGAAATAAAAGATGAATGAATGAATAATAACAACTAATTAGTCAAAATAATAACAATATGATGATGAACATTTATTAGTAGCGCTCACTATGCAGGTGTTATAAATAAGATACCCAAGGCATCTGCCTATACTTTACAGTAAGGCCTGCGTGGGAAAAGCATCCTCCGCGCACAAAAAAACAAAATTGGCCTAGAAATCCGTCCGTACATTTCGGAAAATAAGGGCTAATTTTCACACAGATTTTGCCAAAAATTAGGATTTGACAAAATCTTAATATATAACCTATTCAATTATGCAGCAATTATGATTCCGCGCACCAATTTTCCTAGTAATTTTTCGCATAAATTTTAGCAGATTTCTTTAGGTATCCTCCGTGCAATAAAAAAAACTTTACAGTATGGGCATCTGCAGGGTCTCACACAGCTTATAAGAATTTATTTAAAAAGGTGCATTTTTATCATGTATCTTATAAATAACGATCATCGTACGACGACCCCAACTCAGTTCCCAGTGATCGCTAGAGGATGCAACGATGCTGTCTGCTGATTGTCAGTGGCAGTCTGAACGGATCGTCATTAAAAACAAGGCGTTCTAGGCCTACCTAAAATCACGTCGGCCGAGGAATCTCAGAATTGCTAATTGGACATCGCTGGTAACGCTGGTGCCCGGGTGAAGTGTACTAGGCCTAGGATATACTCTCTACTACTGGCCCAGGCCCATACCGGCCGCTAGGTAGGGCGGCCGCTGTCCACAACGGCCGCCAATGTGTGTATGTGTATGGAATGCTGGTGATGCATTCACAATTAATAATACAATACTTAGGTAGGCCTAATTTATAGGCGGTCAAGGCCTAGGCGCCCAGCCTAGCACAGACCTATCTAGGCCCTAGTTAGGGCTAGCCTAGGCTTAGTACTAGGCTAGGCCTACTAGGCCTAGAGTAGGCCTACTACTAACTAGGGCCTAGCCTATGCTTAGCCTAGGTCTAGGCCTAGTCTAGGAGGCCTAGGATAGCTAGATAGAGTCGTACAACAAGGCCTAGGATAGCCTAGGGCTAAGCCCTAGGCCTAGGAGGTTTAGACAATAGATATGAACGAGGGGTAGGCCTAGAGAAGTACCTACTATTGCGATCAGAAGAACAACTTGGCATAAACAATCTAGGCCCTAGGCCTATTTACTGTATTCATGACAACAGACCAACAGCAGAGCTACCAACTTAATTTTGTTTACTATGGCGCCCGCTTGCGAATAACGTCTGAATTTTCTGCTAATAGGCTACGCTCTCTATGCCTTAGCCTGGGTTCCAGGCCCTAATTTTGGTTTATTTACTTTTTTTTGCACTTAATGCGCGCCATACCAAATGTAATTGGCGTCCCATACTCGATTTCTTTTTTTTCGAATTAGGCTTGTTTACGACTCAACCGAAGATAAAATTATAACTGAACTTTATTCGCTCGTTGGCGGCGCTGTCTATCATAACGGAAAACTATAACAAGCGACTTGTGGCAAGTCTATCTATGCCTGTGTCACCTGCTGTCACTCACTCAAAATTTCCGAATATCCACGTTAGACTTGTAGTAGACCACGGCCACTAGAGAGCACTCTTTCGATTGCTGCGTAACTACCGCTCGAGTCATATTATGCCAGGACTCCACCCCGATTTTTGGATGAACAGGTTGACGGACAGTTGTTGATTGTTGCCATCATTGGTGTGTAGTGCCTTATTTACAGGTTAGGATAGTTCATAATTGTTAATTCAAGTAAATGAACTTCAAAGAACGCATAAAACAATCTGGTCGCAGGATGCTGTCTATAATATTGGGTGTATTGGTTTTTATTTGCAGAATAATATTTGCGTTCCTACATTCACTGTACAGATGTGTCATTCCGTGCCCTCCGAAAGCGGTAGAAGGAAAAGTCATATTAATCACCGGGGCAGGACACGGGATAGGCCGCGAGACTGCACTGAGATTTGCTCGTCTAGGGGCTAGACTGGTTCTATGGGATATAAACAAGACGGATAATGAACAAACTGCAGAAGATGCTCGGAATGTCGGTGCAGGAGCCTGTGCTTATACAGTTGATGTCAGCAATAAAAGCGCTGTTTATGCAGCAGCTCAAAAAGTTCAGGATGAGGTCGGAGATGTGGATATTCTTATAAACAATGCAGGAATCCTATGTGGAGAGTTACTTCTAGAACTGACTGATGAGCAGATTGAGCGAACTTTTGGCGTAAACATTTTGGCACATTTTTGGGTGAGTTTTCCAGCCTGGCCCTATATTATACTAAAGATAGGCCCTGTGGCTTATGATGCCTTAGACTAATTAGATGGCCTCCCTGACCAAAAATGGACATTTCCAAAGTCAACAACTGACCAATCAGGCTTGGAGAACCCTCAAATGTGCATGTTTTTACATACAGGGGTGAGCCCCTCTATCTTGGCTTATACCATGGAGGTATTATTGAGGAGATCGCTTGTGAAAGCTCTGTGCACACAGCGCTATTCAAATGAGCCAAACAAAGCTGACGCAGCGATTGAAGAACGTTTGTACAATGCCTTTGAAGTCTAAGGTGTTCCCTGCCACCAAATGTTGAGCAGGCATAGTTTACCAAAAATGGAGAGCACGTTCTTTTCTCAATGCACACTACTTTACAGTCAATCACTATGGCTGCGCAATCGTTTCCATTTTGAAACTGATACATTTTTCTTTCATAAATACCAAACATATTAGTATTTCTGCAAGAAAAGTATTTCGAACTAATTTAAATATTTACATGAGATTTAAAAGTATGGTATATTTGAACTTGAATTTCCATAAATTGTATAAAAGTTGATAATTCTAATTTTAACAGATATTAAGTAAGAAATGATTGAGGATTCTAATAAACTAGGCCTAGGTCATTTTAGTGTGAACGAGTGAGAAATATTTAAAAATTCAATCGAAATTCCGAGTAATTTTCAGTTTTACGCTGCCTTAGATTTATAGTCAAACCAGTCAATTTTTTGACCAAATTATAATGAACACAGAAGTAATTGTAACAGAAATATTTTGTGAAATATGTTTGTTAAATATACACACTACTAAAAGTCCGAAAAAATCCAATCAGGGGAACATTGTTCATTTTAAAGAAATTTAATGAGTTAAAACGGTTTATCGCACAATTGTGCTGTGTTGAAACGTATAAAACCATGTCGTTGCCAAGTTGTTGCTAACAAAAAAATGTTAATAATAAGGTAATTCACCCACGCGCGATCCAGAGGCAGGGAACACATTGGTTTGTCGCATCAAAGGGAACTGTTGCCAAGTGATCTCCTTCTCAATAATACCTCCATTCTTGTACCAACCTTCTTTTCTTATTTCTCCTTTACATGACAGTTTTTTCAAACAAAATGTACAAAGTAAAACTAAAATAAAATTTTTAAATTTTATTTTGCAGATTATCCGCTCATTTCTTCCGCGGATGCTGGAACGGGATAGTGGTCATATTGTGACGATAGCGTCATTAGCTGGTTATTTTGGAACGCATCGCCTTGTTGACTACTCATCCAGCAAATTTGCTGCTGTAGGTCTAAACGACGCACTTAGAAATGAGCTACGAATGCTAAACAAAACTGAAATTCATTTATCAGTTGTGTGTCCCACTTTTGTCAGCACAGGATTGATTCACAATGTAGCACAAAGGTGAAAATTTTTATATTTATTATATTATTAAATTTTAGTGTAATTATTTTGATATGATTACATAAAACTGTCACACAGTTTATTTCTGGTTTATATCACATGACCAAAATTTATCAACCAATTCCTAAAGAGATTTGCACCAATACAAAGTGCTTTCAGCTGATATTTTTTTGCATTTGAGGCTTGACATTCCATACCAGCGTACTTGTTGCTAAATGTTAAAGTGAAGTATTTAGCTTAAGAATATGGCAGTATTATGAGCCATCCTTTTAAAGCTTGCAATGTGGAGAATAGGAATGCAGTATATTACAAAATTATTGGTTGTACCAGGAAGTCACATGATTAAAACTGACCTGAAAAATATGCGTGCATTGCTGCTTGTTTTGAAACCCTTTGTCAAAAAAGTTCAAAAATGTATGTAATTGATAAAAATATAATTTTTCATATAATAATAATAATGGTATTTACACTGTTTATCTACACACAGGTCAAACAACAACTAATTTATCATAATGATCACACAGAGGTAACTGCGTAGATCATTGCGGTTATTGATCCATTATGCGGAGTTTACATGGGCACTTAATACCTATATCAACGGATAAACACGATCATCAAAGTGGTCTCCTAATGCTGGTTTTGGAATGGCAAGCGTCATTTGTGTAATTTCAACCAGCATTTAAATTTATTTATTATTTATTTATTTTTCTTTTTTTCAAATTTTATTTAAATTTATTAAAGCAAAAACCATTTCTGATTTTCTTCTAAAGGATTCTCTTCAAAATGATTACAGCCGAAGATGTTGCTGAAGCAATCGTCTATGGAGTGCAAAGAAATCAAAGACATATTTTTCCAAAGGCTGGGATTCAGAGTCGTCTGGGAATCATGTTGAATGCGTGAGTACTTGCAGCGATAGAAACAATATTATTAGTTGCACTTAAAGGAAATGGGGCCTACTAAAAAGGAAGCATCAATAAATTATCTCCTATAGCTTTTTAGCCCACGAGCCAAATTATATATCAATCACTCAGATGCAACCCATCAAACCCGAAGCTAATATATCACGTCTTTCGATTTATACGCACGAGGGATAGCGGGTATCGAAGGAACCACCCCCTTGATTTTTTCGGCAGTCAATTAAAAGATACTATCACCCACAACATCAATTTAAGACGCCTAAAAATGACAAAATTACTTTGAATTACTCATTTAACCAAACCACGCAAGTTATCAAATTTTTCAATAAGTTTTTTAATTAATGATTTACAGACATTTTATTATAAATTCCTTAACTAGCTGCTAGATAAGTATGGGTTATGTGAAAAAATGTTTTCTTCGTTATAATTTTCAGCTGAAAGGGAAACACATTGAAATTAACAAAACCAACACTTTGAAGTTGTCATATCTGAAGTACAAATGTTTTGATTGTATTTTAAACATGATGAACAGATGCATTACAAAAGTAAACTAATTGCATTGCAATTTCGTTTACTGTAATTTGATTTTGTTTGTCCTCATTCGTATTAAGTAAAGTTTTCACAATCTGAAGAGATTATGCAACCCATGAAAACTTTTCCGCGACCCAAACATTCAGTCCCATAAGTTGCGGAATGGTGTCTTGATGGGGACTTTGGTGAAAACTGGGAAGTTGAGAGTTAATTGAAAAAGTATACACATCCCATATCCCACATCTCCATGGAATCAATGCTTATAGCCCTTTGGTCTTCATTATCATTTCAACCTTTGGAAACTACTTATCTTATCTTTAGTTTGTGCACCATTGTTCAATTCATAATTTAATCAGGATTGTTGAATGTTAAAATAACACTATATCTAGATCTGTTAAAATCATAGTGAAGCTGTCTATATACAGTAAGCCCTAGTATGTGCCATCAAAATAATTAATATTTTAATGTGAAATTTAAATCATTCTGATCTAGTTTTAATGTTTCATGTGTGATTTTGAGAATGTTTTGTTTTGTGTAAAGGCCAAACATACCATCCATATCTCTCTTAATAATAATAATAATAATAATAAGAATAATAATAATAATATAAATAGAATTATATAGGACTCCAAGTGCTTCACATTAATAATGATGGATGTGGCAATAAATTTATTTATTTTTTAATGATTTATATTAAGCATTATTTTTTTTTTCTTTACAGGATTTTGCCCTACAGGGTGAATGAAGTGTTAGAGGAAGCTATTGGTATTACCATTGGATCACAGTCGAAGAAACAACTTTAAAGGACAATAATACAATCGTTAAATGTTACAGAAGATCATCTTTAATTTTTTTTTTAAATACACACACAGTCAATAATAATTTTTAATCAAGGACATTAACAATTAAATGCTTGCTAAAATACAACATAAAATACAGTATTGTCATACATACGGTAGATTATTAAATTACTCTGGAATACATTATAAGTCGATTGTGATGTAATTCTACATTCCCTCCATGTGCAATAGTTTTCATTATGCAGTCAATGCTTGTTGTTATTCAATATTGACCATCACAGTGGCGGATTAGCCTATCTTTCAATTGGACATGGACCGATGCACCTTTGTGTATTGAGGAAAGTTTTAGGATATTAAAGACTTCAATATTCATAGTGCTTCAACACTATGGATATAACGAAGACTATTATCCATAGTGCTTCCAGTGGTATCGGGGAGGGGGGGGGGGGTTGTTGGACTGAAAATTTTTAAAAATTATAATTTTCCTATTCAAATAATGTTATTTTGATTGCCAATCCCTAATATTGTGGTCTAAAAGCACATTTAGGACAAAATTCAGCCATAAAAACTCTCCCCATGAACCCTAACAGAGATTTTTTTTATTAAATGTCGTTGACCGAGGTTTCGGCATCACCTTGTTTCGGACCCCTTGTCGGCAAGTTTCTGGCGACACCACTGAGTCCTTCAACACTATGGATATTAAAGACTTTAATATCTGTAGCTACAGATATTGAAGTCATTAATATCCATAGTGTTGAAACACATGCACTCCCTAGTCCATATTTGGGTCAGAGCTCGCCCCTGGCTAACCAGTTCAGTTCTACTTACCTCAAATTTACTTTTAATTACCTTGATTCTTTGGAGATAACATGCAATATAAATCCAGAATTATTATTATTATTATTAATACATGGGTTGGGGAGTTGTGACTGAGGGAGATTTCACTTAGATTTTAGTAGACCAGAATACATGTTATTGGAGAATTTGAGCCATAATTAGAGAAGCTAGTGGAGATTTTTTTAAATTTTGGCACACTACACATGCACCAAGGATTGACTATAGCGAATATATCACTGTCCTACTTGTAGGTGACAATCCCTTTCACAATACACAAACGATGATTTACACAAACCTCAATATGAGGTTTAGGGAGTGGAGTTGTTTTGGCCATGGTTAGTTGATTTTTGTTATTATTACCAAGATCAGTACTGTTGTAAACTACATATTAAAAATGTTTTCTAATTAGTGATTATATTTTCTTAATAAGATAGAACAATAATTACCTCTTATAGTAATCATGTTTAATATAATTATTATATAAATAAATAAAATTTACGGGAAATTGTGAAGTGTCTTTGTTTTAATGACTGATTATTTGTTGCAAAGACAAGCCAAACCAGTCACTCGTCACAAAATTAGATTTTCAGTTATTGGTAAAGCGTTAAACAGTAAAGTAAAAACTATAAAATGGTAAAGAATCATTTAAATTATTTCATTAAGACGTTACAGGAGGTTAAACATACAGCTGTTTCAAAAACAATATTTGAGAAATCAGCCTTTAAAGTTTACGATTTTGGGAATTTCTTAGGCAGAAACCAACACAATGAACATACATTATAAAGGTGCAATAAAATAGATTTCCAAAATGTTGACATTTGAGCATGTTTTGGCCATTATCTCCAAAACAGGATTTGTGACGAGTGACTGGTTTGACTTCTCTTTGCCGTATGATGGCAATGGTGGAAAAAATGGCAGGGAAGTTAAACTACCCATTCTTACAGCAACTGAGCTAAATAAAATTTTGAAGCAAATTTTCATTTGTATTACTACTGTTAGACTTTAAAAAAGCTTATGATCTCATTGATCATAAAATTTTAATTTCTAAACTCATCGATCTTCGAGTCGATGATCACCTTATACGTTGGGTTGAGTCTTTCCTCTGTTACAGGTGACATTTTTTCTGAGTGATTAAGCCCTAATGGTGGAATTCCCCAGGGATCATGAATTACCCATTCTTACAGCAACTGAGCTAAATAAAATTTTGAAGCAAATTTTCATTTGTATTACTACTGTTAGACTTTAAAAAAGCTTATGATCTCATTGATCATAAAATTTTAATTTCTAAACTCATCGATCTTCGAGTCGATGATCACCTTATACGTTGGGTTGAGTCTTTCCTCTGTTACAGGTGACATTTTTTCTGAGTGATTAAGCCCTAATGGTGGAATTCCCCAGGGATCATGAATTGGCCCGGTTATGTTTATTATTTTTATAAATGATTTGCTTAAAGAACAAAAATGTGTGAAATTTATGGATGACACCACCATGTTTCAATGGGTGTCGAAGGGCTTCCCCAGTAATTTGCAGAATCATGCTGCGCCAACAATATGACTCTAAATGCCAAAAAAACTTGTGAAATGGTTATTAGATGCAAGAGAACAAAGTAATTTTTTTAACCTTTAGTAATTGATAATTGTTTAATTAAACAAGTTGAGAGCACTAAACTTTTAGGTGCGACTATTAAGGACAGGGGCTGATTTAGAGGGTGGGGGGGCCCTCCCTTTTGCGAGGAAAAGAAGGAAAAAAGAGAAAAAATGATAGCCCAGGACGCCTCAAATGTTATTTTTGGGCGTCAAAACACAAAAATTTCAAGGGGGAATGCCCCCGGACACCCTAGGATGGTGTCTCATCGGACCAACTTTCGGCCCCCCCCTCTCTTTTGGACATCTCTGGATCCTCCCCTGAAGGATAACCTATTTTGGCAAACACACGTTGACTCTATAGTATCTAAGGCGAATTCTAGATTATTTTTTTCAAACAATTACGTCGTTCTGGCCTTGATGCACAAGCTTTGTGCTATTTTTACTGTTGTGCCATCAGACCATTGCTAGAGTATGCTGCCTCAGTATGGGGAACAGGTTTAACAAAGTCACTATCTGACCAATTGAAACAGATCCAATGCAGAGCTCTCAAAATTACCCTTCCGGAGCTTAGCTATCATAGTGCCCTGACCATGTGCAATATTCCAGTGTTGTCTGAGCGACACACTCTCTTTGACAACAAACATTCAGAGTTCTGTGCTAGGTCCCACTCTTTTTCTTTTATATATATATATATGATATTTATATATGATATTCCGAATTCGACAATTCGGAAAAAAAACAATTACTACAGATGGGGATATTGTCTTCATTACAGAACATATTGAGGAGTTATCAGAAGCTGTTTTTTATTGGACTCACCATGGACAAACACTTAACCTGGAAAAGTCATATTGAGAAAATAAGGTCCATAATCAAAAAGAAAGTCGAAATTATATTTACGTTAAGACATATAATTCCTCAAACTATTCTTATATTACTATACAAATCTTTTATACAACCGCATATCATATATGGACTAGGGGTGTGGGGCACCACTTACTACTCAATGGCAGTAAGAGCAGAAACATTCAGTGATTTCACCTCTCATTCTCTTCCTTTGAATTTGCTAGATGTTTTTAAGTTTATGCATCTATTTATTTTATTTACTAGGCAAAGATCAAAGGGAAATCTATATCAACCGAAAGCAGCCACTACAACTATACAACTTTCAATTACTTCTGTAGAAATGAAATACCAATACTCATTCGTAAAATTAAACACAGAAACACCTTAAAAACCAAATTCAAATAATTTTTACTACAATAAAAGGTTGTTACTTCAATTTCCATCTCGATTTTTCTCTACGGCATGTTTTTAGCTTATTATTACTATTATTATGACTATTATTGAAGCGTTTGTTTTAATTTACTATTAATTTGATTTCATTGGATGTTGAGCTCGATAGGCATGAAGTTGCCTCTTTTCAACCTCCTTTTATCTAAAGGATATGTTATTTCATATGTGTTTCCATTGTATATGTTTAAATTTTGTCTTTTGAATAATAAAGAAAGAAGAAAAAGCATAAGCGTATATTTGATGATCTGTAAATTCAAACATTATGACACACCATTTATAATAAGTGTTTGCTTTTATTGCAAAATAACCAGGTTTCAAGTTGAGTTTATGCAGTCTATTGAAATTACAACACCCAAGTCTGGTTCATATAATGGTGCCCATTATAATTTGCGAATGACACCATATTAGTCTGGTTTATATGGTTTCCAGGTTTAATCACACCGCGTAAGTTTGATTTATGCCTTGTCTAATTTAAATCAAAACCACCCGAGTCTGGTTTACATGGTGTCCAAGTTTGTTCACACTGTGTAAGTTTGATTTATGCCATGTCTAAGTTAAATCAAACCATCCGAGTCTGGATTACATGATGTCCAGGTTTAATCACAGTCTGTAAATTCGATTTATAAAGTGTCTTCATTTAAGCACACACATTCTGGTTTACATGGTGTCTGATTTAAGTATGTCTACATGGCATCATGGGACAGTCCAGACAATTCTGATATGATGATGAAGACATCTGATCACACTATACGAGTTGGCTTATGCAGTGTCCAACATGCTGGCCATCTCTTTCATTTGTTTGCTAAAGCTCTGAAATTAAATTGAGCAAACAATTAAAATATGAAAAAAAATAAACAATTGCACAATTGTGAAAATAAGAGAGCAAACAATTTAATTATGGAAAAAATTAAAAAACAAAAAAAATTAACAATTGCACAATTGTGAAAATAAGAGAATAAACATTATTTCAATTACATTATTATGTATTAGGAGGAGAACTATAATAAAGATACACATGAAGACAATAATAATAATATAGGAATTCATAAAGCACACGCACACGGAACCAGCGGCTTAAACGTCTCATCAGAAAGACGGTGCGCTCCGGCTGAAACACAAGGAGATGCAGTGATGGGAATTAAACCGGGGACCTAGAGATCTCCACAGTTCAGCGCACACACAGTGGCTACCACCAGATTAGCTGACTGAGCTAAGCAGCTGAAGTGGAATATTAAGTGTTCATCTTTAATCAGAGGATTTACCTGAAATTCTGGAACAGTCATTTCAAATGATGTTGTCGCTATATTCCCAGATGGACTTGCCACTTTCAGAGAGATGGTGACTAATGGAGAGTTGAGGTTTTTACATGATTGTGATGTCATAGCCATGCCTAGCTTCCATTTCATGTCAATAAGTTTACCAACACTCAGCAGTTGCATGGCACAATCAGATGCAGTTAACATCTTTCCCTAAAAAAATGCAATATAATTGAATTAAATATAAAAGTGCAAAAAGTGGTTCAAAGCGTGCCAGGAGTTTGTGATATTCAAAAATGAGAAGGTGCAAGAAGCATGCAATGGGTGCAAGAAGCAGTGCAAGAAGCATGCAATGGGTGCAAGAAGCAGTGCAAGAAGCATGCAATGGGTGCAAGAAGCAGTGCAAGAAGCATGCAATTGGTGCAAGAAGCATGCAATGGGTGCAAAAAGCATGCAATGGGTGCAAAAAGCATGCAATGGGTGCAAAAAGCATGTAAAGGGTGGTGCAAAAAGCATGCAAAGAAGGGTGCAAAAAAGTTGTAAGATCTACGCAAGAATGTGCATTATGTGTTCAAATAGCGAGTAAAATAAGGTGCAAAAAGGTTGCAAACAGGTGAGTGTAAGGGTGTAGGGCTGCAATGTGTGTGCAAAAAGTGTACAAGCTAGAAACCAGAAGAGTTTTAAGCATGGGTGCGAAAAAACCATGCACTATGACAGATGCAAGGAACATGCAAGACCATACAAAAAGAGGAGGTGCAAAAAAGATGCAAGGCGTAAAAAAAGATGGAATGAAATTTAATATTTATTTACCTGCTCCTTCCACAGGTGCTTCATAACAGACACTGTTGTAGCATCCCATAATAAGGACTTGCTAAGTTCATCAACTAACTGCTCAGGAGTTGCATTGCACTTTGCACATGATCTATATAGAGAATACAGTACACCAGTAGGAACGATAGCAACAATAACAACATACAAATATAAATATTTTTAAGGCAAGCCATTTTTATACCTTGTTTCGCAGACTATTTTTTTATAAGTTAATATTTTTTTTATAAGATCATTTTACCACATGGTTTTGCCAAATACATCCAGACAGAGGAGAAAATGAAAATAAAGTTTTATTGTTGAATGTAAACAGCGTAGTAATGGGATGGTGAAATGCTTTAAATTTATAATTAGGAAGAAAAATAAATATTTTATTTTCAGAGATTTCAAGGCAGTGACGGGTGTAATAAAAATGAAGAAAAACAAGGGTCATCGGCTAGCACGAATCAATGGAGAGGGCAGCATCATAAATCGTTTTTAATGATGATCCGTTTAGACTGCCACCGACAATCAGCAGACGACGTTGCATTGTCTAATGCTCACAGGGACCGGAGTTGGATTCGCCAGATGATGGTCAGTGACGTAGCTAGGTGCTAAAGGGGCCCAGTGCAAGATTAACTACTGGGCCCTTTGATGTTATAGGAGAATTCCCTACTAATAAAGTCCTATGCTGGTAATAATGACTAATGAGGGGCATATCCAGTCTCTCTTTAATATAATTTACTTTTTTCCATTTCTTTTATAATTTTGATATCATGGGAGGGTGATGGGTGTCAGCTGGTGCGTCCTTAAATACACAACAGATTTGAAATCAATAGTGTAATCAATAATTACTCTTCTAAAAACCGAACATTATTGAGGAGCCCCACTGGCCATTTTATTCTTCAAAAATATTAAGTTGGAATTTTCTTTAAACTATTACTTTTAGGTCCCCTAAATTGCCTGGCTGCACTGCCTTTAGCTATGCCGATGCTGTCATACAATGCATTGAGTGTCCAGCTTAACTCACCTGAAGACAAATCCAATGGCCTCAATGGCAGACTCAACAACTTCTTTAACTCACCTGAAGACAAATCCAATGGCCTCAATGGCAGACTCAACAACTTCTTTAACTCACCTGAAGACAAATCCAATGGCCTCAATGGCAGACTCAACAACTTCTCTATTACTCTCAACACCTGCTTCATCTAATTTCTGAAAACAAATAACAAATAATCATTAATGCAATTTAATAATTCATTTATTTATTTATTATTCTTATTTTAAAGGTATTTATATGTTACATAAGGTATTGAGTTTTTAAAACTACTATGCAAATAATCATGATTTTAATTATTATACTGAATGTAATACACTGTTGTCTCAAAATGTATTCACAAAAATTTGGACCATGATTCCGACCCGCTCACTGGAAGCGTCCCATTCTTGTTTAGTTTGGGAGCATATCTGATCTGAAAATGTTCATTCTTCAATTTCAAGTTACAATCGATGTTGATTTTTAAAGAAGCGATAGTCCCATTTATATAGACCCACACTTCCCAAACTATGTGTTGCAGGTTTTCTTAAAACTAAAAAAAAAACAAAAACAAAAAAACAAAAAACAGATTATAAAGGATTTAACGGATCTGACTACCTGAAAAAATTGACATGAAATTCATGTGACCTAAAATAATTGTATAACCTATACAAATGCAAACAATATTACAGCCAACAAGCGTGTCGATCCTATATTTTCAAAATATAAAAAAAATAATTTTATTCGAATTTAAGTCTGAGAGTGCCATTGCCAGCCATATCTAGAGGTCAAATCCCATGGGTTGGTGCTGAGGTGGGTACATACTATCTGTTACAGTTCCTCCCTGGGCCTCCCTTTATTACATATTTCTGGATCCGTCACTGATAAAAAGTAAGAGAAGATCGGTGTTATATCCATGTCTAGTAGTCATTCTTCTGTCAAATTTCAGGGATCTTAAACAACTAGGTGTACATACTGTATTTACTATAAAATTATTAGATGGGTCATGGCTAGTGTGGGAAATCAAAACTTGGGCCTCAGAGAAAAAGTTTGGGAAGTGGGGATTTAGACATATGTAACCTTAAGAAAATAATTATATACAAAAATAAACACACATACACAATCATAACACACCGTCTTACATCTTACAACAAACACACTTGATGTACATATACATTTTTTGGGAACCCCTGGAAATAAATCCTATGTTGGGATTTAGATGGTTATCCCAGGTATAAACATTGATGAATTGCTTGTTTACTCATTTTGTTTCTCTGTATTCTGTTTTTCCGGTTTTGTGATGTTGTCCTGTTGATATCAATTAAACCAAATCAAACATTTAAATGTACGAATACACACAATAGTTGTGAACAGCTTGAAAGTCAGGCTCCGGAGTTGTTGAACTCATTTTTATAAGACACAAATTTTTGAATATTTAAAAACAGGGTGAAAAAAAGGTGGAAAAAAAGGAGTGGTTACTCCCTATTTTCCCGCAGTTGTAAAATGTTAAATCTGTATCTTATTACCCTAAGTTTTTTGTCAAACAACTTTTTTGTGTATTAGAAAAAATTGTTTTCCTCCGCAGCACGACTTTAATATAACAATGAAATATTTTACTTCAAGGAAGTGACTTGCGTTCACTGGAGCATGACTGGACTGCAAGTACAACAAGACTTGCTTGCAGAGCTCTGCAAATACATCTTGTGGGAATGTATGGAGGGCATTCACTGCAGTTGGAAAATCTGTTGAGGAAAAACAGAATAATATATTGACTTAATTTAGTTTTAACACCACTAGTGAATTCAAATAAAACCAAGACAGAAAGGCTGAGAGGTATGGTTCCTGCTTCCGTACCCAGGTCAAATTTTATAAATTTCAAGGACACATAATATCGCGTAACAGTAAAATATCACCGATTTTATGATTGATTAAATGCATGTTAGTGTATATTAACTTTTATCTACCTCAAACTTGGAGGCAATGCATCCGTCTCTTTCACGCTCATTGGGAATTCTGTTTATCTTGCATGTGTAAAAATGTGCTGGTAAGCAAAGGAATTCCAACAAGTATGGGCAAATAAATGAAGGCAGGGCTGATTGATTGTTGTTAATTCTATACCGAAATGGCAATGACCAAAACGGCAATGACCAAAACGGCAATACACCAAAACGACAATGATAAGTACCAAAACGGCAACAGACCAAAACGGCAATGTCAACTACCAAAACGGCAATATGCTTATACCAAAACGACAAAGGAGCAAAAATCAATGCCAAGCTAGACTGAAGCGCCACCGGGCGCGGGCAGCAGTTTTCTGAATTGTTTTTTTGTTTTTTTTAAGCATTCATGACAAATTATTTCGTTATTTTAAAGTGTTATTTATTATTATTATTTTTTTCTTTCTTACTTTTTACTTTCTTTCATGACATAAATTGTTTAGCCTCATACTGCATCTGTATTTTCAAGTCAGACTCCAGAGGAAAAAATTTTTTTGACATGTTGTAGAACTGATTTTTCCAAGACAGAAAAAAGTTGTTTGAGACGAAAAACTGGGGAACAGTGAACGAGACAGATTTTTGAATATTTAAAAAAAGGGGCGTATTACCACCCATTTTTACACCTTTTCCCCCCAGTTTTTAAATATACAAAAATCTGTATCTCATTCACCGTTACTCAGTTTTTCGTCAAACAACTTTTTTCTGTCTTATTAGAAAAATCAGTTCTACAACATATCAACATTTTTTTTTCCTCCCGAGCCTGACTTTAAGGTTTTAATTATTTAAATGTTCACTGGTTTTATAATGTATATATTGTTTCCCCAATCGAATTTGTATGTTGTATTGTTGTTATTACTATTATTTTTGTTGTTATTCTTTAAAGTGTTTTTTTTTTTTCTTTTGCGCTTTTTAACTTTTATGACATAAATTGTTTAGCCTCATTTTGTCTGCATTTTAAAGTTTTAATTATTTAAATGTTTAGTGCTTTTGTGATTCCCCAATCTTTTTTCTATTGAATTTGTATGTTATATTATTATTATTTTATTTAGCCATTTTGCCAATTACCATACAATATGTCATTCTGGAAGTGTTGCCGCATATATATATATACAG